CTAGTAATAATAACATAAATAAGAGAGAATATAAGTCATCTACAGTTATACCATATAAAGAGGGGACATCTGAGACCCTACGTAGGATTCTAAATAAAGCAGGAATTAGGGTGGCATTTAAACCTACAAACTCACTCAGGGACAAGCTCTGTAGGTTAAAGGACCCAGTGGACCCAATTAGACAAAATAATATAATTTACAAAATACCCTGCAATGACTGTGAGGTCAACTACATAGGTCAAACTAGTAGGTCAGGGGTAGTCAGATTATCAGAACATAAGAATTTAGCTAAGGTAAGAATGGTTGACCCAGAGAAGATAAGTAATTTAGAAAAAAGCTCGGCAATTGCAATGCATGCATTAACACACAACCACACAATAGGGTGGGAGAGGGTTAAAATTCTAAAAAGTAATCTAGGTAGGTGGAGAGAGAGGTTGATTACTGAATCTTTGTTCATCGAATCTACACCCAACACATGCAATAGGAATGAATCATCACTCATACCTGAAATATGGAAAATAATACTACCAATCAAATCAAGTGAAAAACAATGGAACTATATAAATGAATTTAGGAAGTCGTGTGATTACCTTGATATGATTATGAGCAATAAATTGTGCTCGAAACGTCATCAGTAAATATTACTGTATAACACTGTGAGACTTTATCAAAATAAAATTTACCCATAATGGAAGGTCCTATAACCCAATAAATATATACCAATAGAAGTGGAGATGGACTGGTGGATGGATACACTCTCTAAGGAGAGACAGTTGATTGAAGACATCACACGCCGTGCTGCAGACCATCCAGTGTTTTTTTGTGTTAATGTTCAAAATACTAAGAGGATATTTAAAGGAACTATTAGTTAAGTGAACTATTAATGTGGAACTCACATTTTCTAGTAGGATCTACGCGCTAAGTAGGTTGATCCTCAATGAGAGTTGTTATCTTCATCGGTGTAATATGATATGAGTTTCAGGTTTCTAAGTGCCTTTCTCTCTCTCTCTCTCTCTCTCTATATATATATATATATATATATATATTACCCATTGTTTTTGATCTGATAAATATCTCAAATTACTAGTCAACAATCGATTCCAGTTGCTATGACAACCATCTATGGTTTCGTTTTGTTTACTGTAAACTCTATGCTGTTTATTATTTGTTACAACTTATTATGATTATTTATTTGTGTTGTATAAGTCGATAAAATGGATTGTGAATTTTAGCATGCATTCACTTATTATATAGTGAATTCAACAGACAAATAGGCGGGGATTCTTCACCATCATAATAATTGGGGCTTTATGGTTTAATTGTGAACACTTTTAGAGGATATTTAGGCAAAGTTCAACAAAATGGCGTCCCAAGGGATACGAACGTACGAGTGACATTGAGCCGACTAATCATAAAAATGAGGAATTTTGCATGAAAAATGATGTGCATTTACAAGAAAATGCATGAAAACACATTAAACAAGGTATCTTTCTCTGACATGACTTAAAAAATACGTCCCAGTTATAATGAGGAGTATCAGTTTCTAAGTTAGACTAGTTTCTGTACATGTATTCGCTGAGGTGACTGAAGATGAGCTGTTTTTGTGAATCGTTCATCTCTCTTATTCTGTTGTGCAGTCCTCCCCAAAGCCTTCGGTTGAATTACTATGGTTTCCAGTATGAGGATCGACAACTACTTACCGGGAATATGTGGAGAATAAAACAAATAAATAGTACTAACTCTAAATGTAACCCCAACCTTAATCCTAACCGTAATTACAACTCTTATCCTAACTCTAATCCTAATTATGACCCTGATCCTAACCCTAACCCCAATACATACCTTAACCCTAATCCTAACCCTAACGAGCTATTAACACATTGTCCAAACAGTACTTAAAAACGTGATCTGGGTGAAATTCGTCCCTTAAATGGTGAATAGCATTGATATTTCAGCTATGATAATGACAGGTGCAGTTAGCCAACGACTAGCTTGCGTTCAAGGTCATTGGAGTGTTCGCACTCCTGGGACGCTATTGTTGAACTTCTCCGAATGTAGATTTTTGTAGGGATTCCCGTTGCTTTCAATGCAGATTTCCTTGTGAACGAACATCAGTTAGAGGTCATTGGAAACCAAGAAACACTTGGCTGCTGTTTCGTCCTAGTTTGGGGCCCCTCATCAGTGTACATCCATAAACTCATCAAAGATCGAACCCGGGACCTTCAGGTTATGAGGCCAAGCTTGTTAACCATTCAGCCACCTTACTTTGTATTCAATGACTTCTGAGTAGTTTTGACTTTGTCAGTTCACAATATAACGCTATCCTCAACCAATAATGCCTTAACGGGTCACTAGATTCGCCCCTAAGTGGCTGAATGGACAGTGAGCTTGTTGTCATAACCTGAAGGTTTGCCGTTCGACCTCTGGTAGGTTTTTGGGTCCACTTCACTGAAGAGTCTGAAACTGGAACGAAATGTGTTTCGCGATAGAGGAGCTAGATCGCCGCCTGTTCTCACCATTAATGGGTTCTGTGGATTCTAGTTGCTTCTGGAGCCATTTAGGAATATGCTCTGAAGCTAGCCCTTATTTGCAGAGATTGATGAGTCCTCTTTATGTATGTGTCTCCACAAGTATATTCAAATTAGTAAATATGGTGGGATGTGACATCATTTTTCGCATATTTAGAGGGCTTAGATGGATATATTAGCTTCGCATTCTCAATTATCATGATATGAGTGGCATAAAAAGTCTTCTTAGTCGCAGCTTTCAATGTTTGTCTAGTTGTCAAACTGCTATGATCCCCCATATAGGTTAGCTGGATTTACATGTCTTTCTTAGAGGCGAGTTGGAGAATTGTTTTAAATAAAGGCACATTAGTGAATAAAGCGTTTACATCAAAATATTATTATCTTCAACACAATTAACCAGTTCAAATGTATTTTTTAATATATACTTACAGAACTGTGTTTTGACTGGATACAATAATTTTACTAACCATTTAGCAAGTTTATGTGTTAGGGATCTACACATTGATAATATATAGGACGTAGAGGATTATTGGGTTTATGTGTTTTTGGTAAACCATACATATATACGAGAATTTACATTCTGATGGTTTTAAAGAGTCGTCAAATATATCTTTACTGATAACATTAGGCCAAGGTAAATAGATAGTCCAGGAGGGGTTTTCCAAACACTCTGTCCACCTACACATATCGTATGAGTTGGAAATGAAAGAAAATGGACAATCGTGAAGTCAGCTCACAAAGACTGGAGAAATATAATAATAATCATAATTTACTTTATTCCAAAAAAACAGTACTTGTGATACAGAATGGAATTTTCAGCATTAATCACAATATTGCATCTAATTTCCTCAAATTATAAATGAAAACTAGTCACACAGAAAATTTTTCTACATTTACAATAGGGGTAATGTCAAAAAAAACATGCAGCATATAAAATGGAAATAATAATGATGATAGCAGCTAAGGTAATGATAATAATACAAGTGGAAGTTGCCGTGGGCTTGTTTCACACAGTATTGTCGATGCGGTATAGAAATCCTAGCGTGTTTAAAAATATTGAATATAATGTTATCTTTACATGATATGGTGAGGGGGGAAAAACAAAGATTACAGCAGTCATAGAGATAAGTTGGTGTTTGCAATTATGAAAGTAAAACAAAGAAGCAACTGGACCATAAATATAATAGACATAATAAAAGTAAAACTTGAAGGTATATAAAGATGGATGGAGGAGATTGTTTATTTACTAGATGGAAAAAGGTTAGTCAATTCTTGCCTGACGCTATTTTCATCACATAAAATACGTGCCAAGTATGGTATGATAGAATTTTTATACTTAGACGTGTGAGCATACAGTTTTCTGAAGTTACTTCTTGTTCTACCTGAGGAGATGCAAGGTGAAAGTTGAGGGTGAAGTGGATGCTCCAAGTCAGACAAAATCCCTTTGGCAAATTTACTGCACGAAGTCAAGTGCCTATCGACGACAACGTTAACTATGTATTCCACTGGGACACCACTCATCCTACTGACAGTCTTCAGCATTCTACGAATTGTGACAAAGTCCTTTTTAAGCAAACCAGGAAAGGATAAGGGTGAACAATAAAGAAGAATAGGTAGGATGCAAGAGTTTATGAACTGTAAGAGGAGGGGTTGAGTTATACCCAAGTGCCTTATCTTCTTAATGTAAAATGTCAGGCGGAATATTTTACTGGAGATCGCTGAGACATGGGAAGACCAGGAGAGATCATAAGAGAGAATAAGTTCAAGATACTTAATTTCTGATTTAATTCCTATATCACTGTCATCAATCTTACAACTGTCATGAGAATCGACGGCGTCTTTTAACTGTCGTTTACATCTTAAGCTGAAATTAACAGTTTGACATTTAGAAGGATTCAGTTTAAGACCGTTAGACTCAGACCATTTACTGACTTCCGACAGAAAGCTATTTATTTTGGTACAATCTAGCTGGGAGATATGCTGCTTGAGGCCTTATATTCCACTCCGTACTCGATCATCTGAATTATTTCATAGCCCAATCGACCTGAATAACAAAGTAATGTCCTGAATTCGCTTAACTTGTAACGACAGAAGATAAGGGCCAGGCAACAGATCGTTTATTGAGAAAATCAACAGATATTTATAGATTTTTGTGTACATTTTTATTCGTTATTGTTAGCAGAGAGGTATCGTCTTCTGATTGGTTGTTTTCTCGCTGAAATTCAATTTGTCATCTCTTTGTGACCATTCCTTTGAAGATCAGACCATATATCTGCGAATCGTATCCACCCACGCTAAGTCTGCTGTGATTGTTTGTTGGGTTAGTCTTTGTTCTTGTTCTTTTCTCATGACCAAGATATGGGAAGTAAACATTGACGTAAATTGCTGTCTACCAATTTCGGCTAGCAGACAGCTCTCACCACAAACTGAGTATATTCTCCTTCTTTTATATGTGTGTGTTTATATTCACAGGTTATCTTAACTGTTCGTGATCCAGAAATATGGCTTGCTGGTTGTCGTTCAACTATCCTACCCAGAGATATTGATCAACCACGTTCATTATCATTTCGTCTACTTCGCCAATGTATTGGTCTCAGCCAATTTCATGAATTATTTATTATGAATTGGCGACGTGTATTTGGTGAAGAAATGGATTTTTCCAATGATACCTTAATGTTAAATGGTTTTGTTAATTGGAATCAAAATGTCATTAAAAATATTCCATCCGAGCGTTTATTAAAATTTGATATTAGTCAAGGTTGGGAACCATTGTGTAAATTTTTAAATATGCCTATACCTGATTATCCATTTCCACATGTGAATGAATACAATGAATTGAAACGTTTAATTAAACTGGAGAAACGTGTTTTAAAATTTGTACAATGGATATTACCTGTTGTGGTGATTATTTTCTTAGCTTATCTACTTTATAAACTTGTACTATAATGTAGGGAGTAGTCAAAATAAGCGAGTGAGTGAGTAAATGAATGACTATGCAGTATATTGATTTTTTTATTATTACTATTTATTTTATGATATACTTTGTAATAATGTCTTCTTTTGTTGTATTCAACATGTTTATTATTTTTGTTAGTAGTAGTGGTTGTTGTTGTTGTACAAGTTGATTTTCTCTCGTCCCCCGTCTGAACCCACCCACCCCCGCCCACTTCGCTCCTTTGCATCCTTCTGTTGTGTTGTGTTTTTTAAAAATTTGTTTGTTTGAGTTGTGCTCACTCTTACTCTCCTTCCTTTTCACCTTCATTTACTGTCTTTTTGATATTAGTGTGAGTGTGTGTATAGTTTGATTACTTCTGTCAAGACACGCCTATATTTTCTGTGTGCCTTGTATATATATTACTAGATTGGTCAGTTTAAACGATATGTAATAAAATGCAGCACATTTTTTAAACTCGTTTTCTGTTGTCAATACGCCATGTGGGCGTATGTGTTGGTGTGGTGTGGTGTGGGGCGGTGTGCGGAACATCTGTTTTAGTTTAAAAGCTTCTGTTATGCCTTTTTATTAGTGTAACGACAGAAAACAAGGACCAGGCAACAGATCGTTTATTAAGGAAATCAAAGCATATTTATATATTTTCATGTACATTATTATAGATTATTGTAAGCAAACAAACACAGTCTTCTGATTGGTGGTTTCTCACTGAAAGTTAATCTTTCATCTGTTTGTAGCTGTTTCTTGAAGGTCAAGTAGTCTATCTGGAAATTGTATCTGCCTACGCAAACAAAGTCTGCTGTGATGGGCTGTTGAGTTAGTCTTTGTTCTTTTTTTTCTCAAGACCAATATTGGGGACGTAAACCTAGACGCAAATTGCTGCTGTCTACCAATTTCGGTTAGCAGCCAGCTCTCACCACAGTATGAGCAATTTGACTCTCTAAGCTAATTTAAATCGGACACACTACCAATGAGATTGACCTCAAACGAACGAAACTGCTGTCTGGTGTTTAGGTTACTCTGATCTGGCCAGTGATTCATATCCTACTACTCATGTCAATCAGTAGCTTAAGCAACACATTTCTAATTGCTATAACTGTAATATTATAAAGTAATGAAAAGCCGTTTGAACCACTTAAGAGGCTTTGACTTAGCTAATTCCATATTAGTTTGTTTATTAGATATATCACACAGTGAAACAGTATTATTTACTAGATGACCTTTCGAACAAAATTTATTGTTCATAATCATTTCATCAATTAGAACCACACGACTTCGAAACTTGAGTTTCATAGTTTTCTTTGTTTTCTCCTATTTGTCGTAGGGGTGGTAGAATTTTCCAGATATCTGGTTGGACAGGTGTTGAATCATTCCTATTACATGTGTTTACAGTTGATTCGATAAACAAAGCTTCTGTTATCAATCTCTCCCTCCATTCACCCTGTGACATTAGATTTTAAAACTGTCATCCTATCCCACCTATCCTATTGTATGGTTGTGTGTAACTGCATGTAGTGCTATAGCTGAACTATTCTCTAGATTTCTTATCTTATTTCGATCAACCAATGTAGATTTTGCTAAGTTTTTATGAGCTCCCAATGTTAGATTGCAACGTAAAAAGGAAAGGAGATAGGAAGTTAAACATTAGTGTTTACAGAAAACCCACACACTCAAACAGATATTTGGACTTCCGATCATCCCATCCTATGTCAGTAAAAATAGGATTGGTGAAATGTTTAAATGACAGAGCACAAAAACTAACTAGTACTAAGGAAAATCTAAGACAGGAAGTGATACGTATAAGAGAAACCTTGAAACTTAATAATTACCCGGATAAATTAGTCAGGAAATATGTAAGGAAATGTAAGAATAAAATAAATAATGACAGTAGCGATAATGATAATAACAATAATAATGATAATAGTAATATTAATGACGATACCAACAATAAGGTATCTAAATCATCAGTAGTAATTCCATACATTGAAGTAAACTCGGAAGCCTTACGCAGAATTCTTAACAAGGTAGGAATAAAAATGGCATTCAAACCCACAAACTCGATTAGAAACAAGCTTTGTCGTTTAGAGGATCAATTCTGTGGACCCTTTAAAACAAAACAATTTAGTTTATCTAATACCCTGCTGGAATGATTGTCAGGTCAAAGTAGTAGAACAGGTGCAGTCAGACTAGCTGAACATAAAAACCTGGTAGGAAAATCTAGATCGGTTGACCGGAATAAGATAAGAAATCTAGAGAATAGTTCAGCTATAGCACTACATGCAGTTACACACAACCATACAATAGGATAGGTGGGATAGGATGACAGTTTTAAAATCTAATGTCACAGGGTGAATGGAGGGAGAGATTGATAACAGAAGCTTTGTTTATCGAATCAACTACAAATACATGCAATAGGAATGATTCATCACCTGTCCCCGATATTTGGAAAATTCTACTACCCAAACGACAAATAGGCGAGAACAAAGAAAACTATAAAACTCAAGTGTCAAAGTCGTGTGAGCACAATTGATATGATTATGAACAATAAATTTTGTTCGAAAGGTCATCTAGTAAATAATACTGTTTCACTGTGTGATATATCTAATAAACAAACTAATATGGATTTACTTACTACCACCCTTCCTAAGTTTTACACATATATTAATTCAACTTAGCTAATTTTAGTTGAGCACGAATCTTTGATATTAACGGTGTTTTCTGTTAGTTCGGTAAATAAGTTAAGTTTTCGGACGAGATTTTTGTTGAAGTCGACAGATCCCATGCATTGAATCTCTTCTTTTTTTGATAACTATTCATTCTTGAAATAAATTAATATGTGGAAATACGCATACATTTTGAATCATACGTGGATCTTCGATTCCATTTTACAGTGTCTTGTTTCTATTCCTTACCGTTAAGAATAAGTTGGTAATTCTGTATAACCAGTAGCCTGAGCAGTAATACAAAATTTGAAACCAAGACGAAGTCACTAAATTAATTTTGAAACGAAATTTATTTTTAAGTTTACGTTTGATTGATTTTAAGTTAGACTTCATTACATAGTGATCTCAGTTAGAGAACTATTGAAAAAACCAGCAGGGTGTACTGGACAGTTGTTTCGTCCTAGCTTAGGACCCTTCAAAAGTACGCACCTGCAACCCCACTGCCAGGGATGAAATCCAGGAGGTTCAGTTTATGTTGACCTTTCAGGTACTGGGATAGAATCCAATAGTTTATGAATTCTAACGTTTTATTATTCGCGATGTATAGCACCACCAGTGTCCGATGTCATCAGTGAGTATGCGTCTTCACACCCTCCCTATTGGATGTACCATATTAGCCAAGACTTCTCCCCAGAATTCTACTCACTCTATTCTGTAGTCATTTACCGGTAAACATTAGATTGGTTTTTACGTATTGGTTAGATCGTGAACTGAAGAGTTACAGGTTAAGACAAAACAGCTGTCCAATAGTACTCCATGGGTTTCAACGGTTCTCCAACTGATTAAAAATGCCCATTAAAAATTTTCAAAAGAATGGTTACACTGAAAAAAGAATATTCTTTTTGATAACCTGCTCTTCATCAGGTTCTGCAGTTATGTGTACATAATGGTGAGTGAATTAGTGTTATTAACAACATTAATGCTGTCTAAATAATGTCGAATCAATAGTAATAATAATATCAATGGATTACAGTTCGATAGCATCAAAATAACAATACATTGAATGTCAGAAAAATTGGGAGAAAAATTATGATAATACGAATTCATGAGTTTAAAGTCTCCATTGAAGGCCGACTAGGGCAGTTGAAGCGGCTGAACTTGCTTCTTCCGCGCACAGAGCACTAGTTGTTTAAGGTGAGTTGCGATAGCCTCTGCTGTTTGGAGTATTCGATGTTTTTGGCGATTTGTTTGGTGTCCGACAGATGGTGGAGAAGGATTCTTCAATGCTGAGTTTGTGGCCGGCCGGTTTGGACCATGTGTTCCAATATAGAACTGTCGATGGCTTTTATTACACCCTTATTTAGCGACACAGGTAGATTTTCGCGAGGAGCACGGAAAATCAAGTTCCTAGAGCAATGGCCAATATAACTCGCTCCACCACAAGCGCAGTTTAATTAGTAGATACAGTTGGAAGTCAAGCTTGCCAAGGTACTCCATCTTTAAATTGAGGAATCACCATCGGTCGTGTAGTAAACATGACTTAAAGTTTTCCAGCATTAGAGGTTCCTTGAACTAATTTTCTGAAATTATTAGTAATTATTTCACTGGGTGCATCACTGTCGATTTGAAATCGTATGGGTAAAAACTTCTTGTTTACGGATAATAAATAGTCCTTTTCAGCTTTCTTGGTCATACGTTTCTTGATGAACTTTTCTGGAGAGCTGTTTTCAATTAGAGTGTCATATACAGTCCTAAGTTCATCTTCAGTTATGTCTTCTGAGCATATAGCTCTGACCCTGTAACTGAGGGTTCTTATTAAATTTTTCTTGAACTGGAGAGGAACAAAGCTGTGGAAATGTGTATATTGTCCTGTCCATGTACTTGCTCTATGCAAATTTCTGGATTGTAAAAGAAAAGAAGGCGTTCAGCGAAGAGACTCTTTTCGGCAAATTCATTCACTGAGCTGTACAATCGTATATTTATACAATTCTGTTTGTGTGTGTGTACATTAGATTTATAAAATTTAGATAATTACGTAATATAAGTATTATTTGGCTTGGAAACAAACGTTAATTAGATAGAAAATAAAATAAAATTGATTAAATTAATTGGATGACGTAATACAATTGAGTAGAATTCAAAGTAGGTCAGGTTTGCAACAGTGTTAATGAGTGGTGGTTAAAATTAAATAAGGGTGGGGGTAGACAATAATACAGTTGAAAATTAAGTAATATAGTTGACTAGAAATTGGACGTGGGTCGAGTTAGCAACATTGTTAATGAGGGTAGAGATTACAAAAGGGTGGGGTAGAGAATAATACAAATGAAGGTGTGAAATAAAAAAATGCCAAAGACAAAATAATACAATTAGTGAGACTGAAATTAAGAAAGATTAGGTCCATTGTAGATTTAATGATTGAACGAATTTCTTTTGTATGTAGAGTTCAGGATTTAGCAGATGAATTGCCATTGCTTCTGCGATGTTGAGAAGTTTGATCCGTACACTTTTAGCAAGATTGCCTTGTATTCTGTAGATAACTTTGAAGTTTGTTTGTGGTTTGACTTGGTGTCCAGATTCGATCAAATGTTCAAGGATCGAGCTGCGGGGGCATCGGCTTTCTCCTTTATAAAGCCATGAAGGTAAATGTTCGTTGACGCGTTTGGATAGCGAACGCTGAGTACGGCCGATATACCTGGCTCCACACGAGCAGGTGAATTGGTAGATGCACATAGATGAGGCCAACAGCAGTAGCTTATCCTTCACGTTCATGCGAATCATTGGTCTCGTGGATAAAGTCAATC